CGTGGAAAGTAACAAAATCTCCACCGTCCGCATTAAGCCGTTAACAGCTCGGCCTGCTATCGCCCTCAACATGTAACAGTCAAGCAATGCAGACATTTTATTTTGCACTAGCTGCTACCCGAAACTGTTGACTAACATAAAATATTGTTTTTTAATAATGGTATAAACTTCCGATCGAGTTTTGTATATTTGATGGCACAACCAACTTGCATGCTTGAGAAATTTTTTGTTGCTTTATTAGTGACGCGACATACACGTGCCGCGTGTAAAACCGCGGTGCAGAAACATAGTTATAAATAATATGAGTATAATGCAATTCTAAATGGGAAAAAAATTATACGGAACTGGAATTTACACAAAATTGAATATGACCTTAAAACCCTAAAAATCTCGGGCTTCTCGGTTCCTTTGACAACTCGTACCATCTCCGATGTTTTGAACGAGTACTGATTCTTCATTCTCTAGTTCGGTCCTGTATGTGAGATGGTGTGGTGGCCCAAAAACCGGTGGAGGTGGCCGCGTTCTGTCCCAGGCTGCCGATGCCCGTGGACCGACCGAATTCCTGGAAGGACTGCAAAGCGGCATGCCAATGCCGCCTGCGCCTCAGGCTAGATCGTCGCCACATGCATGTGCCTCCAAACACCCTTACCCTCCTCCATCACAGTCCCCCGCCCACCCCTTCGTATCAAAAGCTGCAACCGCCTTGTTTGCCTGCCTGCCGTTGCACTCTCGGCGGCGCAGCGGACCCACAGCGGAATTGCGCCGTTGCCACGTCTGCGTTGTTTTGATGACGCCTAAACGGTTGCGGAAGGTCACCGAACGCGCACCGCATTGCCGACACACACCAACAAACTCATGCGTCCGGCGTCATAACAGATCAAGACATGCCATCTTCTTGAACCGTAAATCCCTCGACGGCTTAAGTAGAATGGAGTTCGTGATAAAATAGATTTTTTGCGTAAAAGCAGATTGACATATAACGACTATTCCACATTAAGCCTATTGTCCCACGGGACCGCGGCTTGATGGGGTGCTCCCAAATGGCAAAAAATAAATGCTTGAGGACTCCCTCCCCGTTCTTCAATTTTATCCAACGGCAATAAGATCCACAGCTTCGCTGATGACATCACTCTACACTACACGAAGGCATTCAGTATAGCAAGACGTCTCTGCTGGTGAGCTGGTGAAAAGAAGACTAGCAGTGACTTCTTCTCTGACGAGATACCTGGAGGTTATCACTGCTCGGGGACGCAACAATGTGGTACAGTTTAATGCTTCCGAAACACAGTATTGTACCTTGACTAAAAACAAGCGCCTTAGCGTTCTTCCGATTTCGATGAAGACCGAGTTCTGCCAAGGAGCCTGTCGTTTCGGTTGGCTGAAGTCCAGAGTACCGAAGCCTTGATTTGGCATGAACAAGTCTCGTCAATCGCTATAGCTGCTGAGAAAAAGTTATTTGTTTAGGGTCAAGTACTTTTTCTAGTAAGTTTATATATACAGGGTAGCCCATCCATGTGTGGACGGAATATTACTCATAAACAAATACATTTTGGGAAAATCTATTTATGGAATGTTATATATGATATTTGAGGGCACATTTCTAAAATATTGGTAATTACAGGGTGTTCCAATTTTGACCTACATATCAAAATTGTGATTTTTTAAATAGAGTGCCTCAAATTTTATTGCATATTTGGATAAACCAATTCAAAAGAAGAAGATTGATATAGCATGGGGTTTTAGTAATTAGCTACTGAGATGTAAGGTGTTTTGTCCGGAAAAACCGTCCACTTCGGCAACCCCTCAATCCGCCATTTTGAAATTTGGAATGCTGAATTTTGTATCAAGAAAAACTTATATGCCTCAGCTTTTATCTTATTTCTTACTTTTTCGAATTTTCGTTTTTGCTCATACAGGGTGGTCAAAAACGCGAATTGTATTTATGCAAGTTTGGATTCAATTTTTTACAAACCTTTTTTGGTATAAGGTTTGATTCAGATAAAATCACTGGATTTTGAGTTATTGAGCTTTTAATAGAACAACACTCCAAAATCAAGGAAAAAAATCACATCATCCATGGAAACAAAAGACAAACCGTGGGCTAGTTCCATATTGCCACTAAGAGTACAGATTTAACGTAAAAACTAAAAACAATCAGAACAGTATAAATCAGCTTTAAGCGTAATAGAGAAAACAACTATAACAACAACATAAACAAACAACTATCACTACTCAAGATCTAATCTACAAAAACTGCTCGATAATATCTCCACCATGTTGAATACACAGTCGTAGTCTTTGGATAAATGACCGTTGCACATCCCTCAGCAAGTGTTCCCTTATGTTCAGAAAAGCATCCTTAATCATTTCCTTCATATTTTCCGGGGTAGATGGTGGATATCTATAAACCTCTTGCTTAACGTAGCCTCATAGAAAAAAGTCCATCGGTGTCATATCTGGTGATCTAGGAGGCCAAGATATAGGCCCATCACGACCGATCCAATGATTGTTACCCCAGGTGTCCAAGGAGTTACGCACACGATTATGATAATGCGCAGGTGCGCCGTGATGTTGGAAGTACTATATGCAATCGAGTTTGCAGGTTGACATCATCCAAAAGCAAAGGCAAATGCTCGATCAAACAATTCAAGTATTCTGTACCTGCAAATCTGTTGTCAAAACAGAAGGACCGATAACTTGTCTGCCAATAACTCCTCCCCGAATATTCAAGCTCCATTTATTTTGGAAATCTATTTGCCTAACCCAGTAAGGGTTTTCCATCGCATAATAGTGCATGTTGTGCCTGTTGACAACACCTATGCTGTTAAAAGTTGCCTCATCGCTAAAAAGAACCTTATCCAGGAAAGGAGTGTCTTCACTCACTTTATTTAGCATTATTGTACTGCGAGCTGCGAAATCCTGAGGACGAAGGCCTTGATGCAAGCATAGGTGATATGGATTGTACCTATGCTTGTGAATAATCCTTTGGATAGAAGTTCTTCATATATCAGTTTCTTCTCCAATTTGCCGTGCACTTAAATGGGGATTTTCCTGCAACTTTAATAGAACCTCCAACTGATTCTCCTCATTGGTGACACTTGGATTATTTATACATTTTTTACTATATTCCGGCCTGTCGCATATTAGGGTACCGTTGCTTATAAATGCGAGATGCTAGGAAACTATTTCTTTGGGCTTCGCTTCGCCCAAAACGAACACCATATTCACCAATTCTTCCTTAGAAAAATTCACTTTCAAACACGTTTTTATTATAATGTTCAAGCTAATTTTTACAGTTTGTAACTCATTAACAATCTATTTGTTTCCAAGGATGATGCGATATTTTAGGGAATTAAGCCGTTCCATAAAAGACGTGCTAATAACCGAAAAAATAGCCGTAAAAACCCTTATGTGTCTAGGACAAAAAAAAAGCTTATAAATAATTGAATCCAAACTTGCACGAATATACAGATAAGATAAAAGCTGAGGTGTGTAAGTTTTTTTGATATAAAATTTAGCACTCCAAATTTCAAAATGGCGGACTGAGGGGTTGCCAAGTGGGGGGTTTTTCTAGACAAAACATCTTATATCTCAGTAGCTAATTACCAAAACCCGATAGTGTCATATCAGTTTTCTTCTTTTGAATTGGTTTATCCAAATATGCAATAAAATTTGAGGTATTCCATTTGAAAAATCACAACTTTGATATATAGGTCGAAATTGGGACACCCTGTATAATGGCCAATATTTTAGAAACATATATATATATATATATATATATATATATATATACATATATATATAATATCCCATAAATAGACATTCCCAAAATGTATTTGTTTATGAATAATATTCGGTCCACACATGGATTGGCCACCCTATATATATATATATATATAGTATTCATAGTTAATTGCCTTAACTGTTAGGAGAAGATATCCTTTAATTTCTTTGGGTAGAAGGCAAAGTATTGCAAAAGTACACTCTTATAACTTAAAATCTCAAGCTTTCGAAGAATTTTTTCGAATTCCATCAATTTCCAGAACTAGTTTCGCAGTGCTACCATACATTAAAGATCTAACACCAAAACTTTCTAGATTATGCACCACTTTAAATTGCCGCATTGCTTACAAATCCTCACTCACAGTCAACAATGTCTTCTCCAAAATGAAAGATAGAGTTCCTCTGCTTGGCCTATCCAACATTGTCTACTCCATCAATTGTAATAACTTCAATCTCACATAAATATTTCAAACCTCAAGATCCCTTAAAGGTAGAATAACCTCACATAAGAGTGATGCCAGACTGCATCCAGAAAGATGTGCTCTAGCTTCACACGTAAATTCCACAGGGCATCAAATGGGATACAATTATATCAAGGTGCTAGACAGAGAAAAACATATATCAAAACGCCTGTTTTTGGAAATGTCACATATCCTTATGACAGAGAACTGCATGAACAAAAAAGCGGAAGTCAATCAACTTAGCGTCGTCTACGCATATTTGCGAAAAATTGGAAAAGCAACACATCTCCCCCAACATAGATTTGTCCCAATAATCACTCAATAATGCTGGTAATACCCCCTACCGGTTTTTTCAGTTGTTTGATAGGATAACATCCTACATCACTGTTGTTTAAAAAACAATTTCAGAAACAATCTGGGCGACTTAGTAAGTAAATAATTTTCTCCTAATTACTATTAGTTGCTATTTTAATAATTGTTTCCAGCTCCAGACGATGAAGAAAAAATTCTTCGAAAGCTTGAGATTTTAAGTTATATACTTTTGCAATACTTTGCCTTCTACCCAAAGAAATTAAAGGATATATATATATATATATAAGTTTATAGTATCCAATGTCACACAAGGGTTAAGTGGAAGTTTAGCCGAGGCTAAACTTTGCCAATTTATAATGTATCGTTGTTATAAATAAAGCTGTTTATTATTATAATCATCATCAAATATTTCACAGTGTTCTAAGATAAGCTTTATCTGCTTGGTCATTTTTTATTAAGCCTGCTCTCAGTATAGGATACAGCAAGAGCAACACACATCTTGGTGCCTGCTGTCGTTTGTGTACGAACGCGGGGCACCGTTCTGGCAGTTGACGGCCTCGGTCGCCGCATTCCAGCAGCCGGAGCCGTAGCAAGAGCGGTTGCCGCCCCACACTCAGTCCACCCCCGCTCCCCCCAGCCCGTTATGGACGGTCCACCACCGCCGGTGCCCGCCCTTGATCCCTCACGATTCACGCTGTGTCGCGTCGGGCTACACTTATCTCTACCGATTTAGAGATTATTGCTTTTGATAGAAGAATTACAGGAACTGGATTTAGGAATTTTAAAAATTACGTGCCGCTACTAGCTACGAAATCATGGCTAAAGCCATAGTCCGTGCATAGAACCCGATCGTTTGAAGCAATATAGAGTCAAGCCGAATACTAAACTCGTTCAATATCCGCCGTACCATTTTATTCTAATGCCGAAGTCTAAATAAAGTTTTATGGAAATAAAGCGCTTGATAAATGGAATGATGCGACATCAAGTTATTTGAAATGAACTTCAACACCTTTCATAGAAAAGGCACTCGAAAATATGGGAATTCCTATTTACCTGGGTGTGGTGTTGGATAGTAAGTTGTCATGAAAGGAGTATATCGACTATATTGTCGGGAATTCGACAGGAGTTTGGGACGGAATGTCTTGCATTGGCTCTACGCGACCGCGATATGGACATAGGATACAGTATGGATGCGTGATGGTGGCCTAGCATCTAAAACTTAGGTTACCCTGAAGTTTGGCGAGATTCAAAGATTTTCAGGATTCGGTGTAATGTAAAAGTGTCAAATCTGTCAATGCAAATACGGCATCCTTGTTATGAACTAGTCTCAAGGGCCCTTTAATACCCTATTCCAAAATCCAGATAATAATAAGCGACTTACATTTCGAAAAGAAATTCGAGTTTTCTTGCTCAAAGTTTCGATAACCCACCTTCCCTCGTAATTCGAAAAGTTCAAAATCGAAATAGGAATCAGGAATGTATTAAGCTAGGTAAGGGGCCTCTATGTATGTAGGAAGCTCGGAGTCTGCGGCGCCTTAGGCAGGAGCCCCTTGTGGTCATAAGATGAGGCCGGAATACATAGGTATATCCATAGGAACATTTTAAATTCATGGAAAATTAGGAAATGTTTGTGCAAAGATTCTATTGATTTTGCTCAGGTTTGTCCGGCATAATCAGCGCGCCCGAACAAAAACAAAATTGATTCAAAAATAACTTTTGTTAACAATCGGTCACGATTTAGATGTGCCACCGGCAGATAACTTATTAACATCACCTCACGCCATTAAAATGAAAAACATCTTAACCTCCATGTTCCAATACAAAACAGAAAACAAAGTTGTATATCCGCCGCCGCCGCTCAGTTGGTCGTGGAATGCACCAGCAAGCCGGCATCCGCTCTTCTAGCCATGCAACTAAACTACTGGCGGAACATTGGATGGGTAAAAAGGGACAAGGGTCACCTAAAGTCGAAAGTCTATGTCATCCCAAGCTAGATGTACTTGGTTCCGAAATCCTGTTGAAACCTTTTTACAGTCCGCAAGACCATCCATGAAAGCTCTCGGAAGTTGCAATACTATTGCACCCAATCACGTACAGCTGCAAGACTGCCCTGTTTCCTCGATTCAAACGAGCAAGGTTAGCCAACCTAAACGAATTAAATATTAACTGTTACCTTCCTAACCTATAATTTAGGTTTTGTTTTTTTATTCGTCAACATCAAAATACAATCAAACGTATATCTTTAAACAATTAAATATAACCACACAAATCACCGGACCGGCCAACATGCATTGTTAACTTGTAAGTTACTAACAATTCCACGAGAATGGAAAATCGAGGTAAAGAAGACACTTTTCCTAACTTTATTTTTAGTGTATTTCAAAATAACTTGTACATTAACATTGCCACTTCTCCTCTAAAAGATGGCACAATAGGAATTTCTACATGACATTTCGTCTTTTGTTCTACAGCATAATTTTCTTAGGGACACCATATTGGATTTTTGCGCAGATGAGTAGAGTTTTTAATAAATTTGATGCTGGAGGGCAAGAGATGAAACGCCATATTGAAATTCTAATTATATCATCTTGTAGAGGAGAACAAGTGGCAATGTTAATGTGCAAGGTATTTTGAAATCCCACTACAAATAAAGTCAGTAGAAAATTAAGGCGATTTTGATAAAATTCGTTTTTTTTTCGTCTCTCTCCTGAAGCACTTTGAATTTCGAAACTTTCTAAGCGGGATTTTGTTTATTTACACGCATACTTGCCCCCATTTATGCGACTTCGTATCTCTTACAGTTTCGTGGATTCCAATGGTGAGGATCGAATTTGAAACACCCTGTATATACTTATAGTCGTCATTAAATTTTGAGACAAATGCTAGCAGCCCTTCAGAACCAATCACAGCTAGCCTGGGATCAGATATCTCAAGAGAACAAACATCAGCTCATCATCCCCTTAAACATGTGTGGTATCTGGGTAGCCAGAGCTGACAGACTGACGAGACTTTTAACTAAGAGCAAAGGTCCACCGGACCGCTCTGACGAATAATGACGAATAGTATCGGCTCATCAGAATTATGCCCCGACGACTGGACATTGGACAAATGTATATGGCATTGGGGTGTCCCAGCACATTACTGTGTTATGTTTTCACTTCAACCACGACTTTGAGCCCGACTTTGCTTGTATCTTATTATATACCGTCAAAATGCGTGAATTAATAAAATTGTCAGGATTTTTATTTAATTACGCTTGACGCCGAGTGCCTCATCGGTGTCCTCGCCCCGTCAACGAAACGGCTGCTTTTCCGTTGAAAATGAATAAAACTCATACCAGGTATAAACAACTTGAAAGCAAATAGCCTTAAATAATTGTAGTTGTTGAGGGGATCGATAACAATATGTATGCAAAATTTCATTCGAATAAAATCGTTTTACTAAACATTCTATTTTCTTTGTCACAAAGAATATATCTACCAACCGGATGTGGATCGTGCCCCCCCACAAGTAAAACAAGATCCGTCAATGACCAGCACACATGTTGAATGACTTAAAAGTAGACTTGGCAGCACCGCAAAACGCCTGGCCAGACTACTACGCAGTTACTACAAACCACACACAAACAACCGACGCGAGAAATAAGACAGAAAGAAAGAAGAGAGCGGGAAAGGGAGGCGCAACGATCAACGACCTAATGTGGTACTACGACGTAAAGACTATACGCCGCTTCGGCTGTGCTTTTTGCTCTGGTACTGCTCGACTTGGTTTGCTTTCCCGCCAAACTAGATAAGAGGCCGTTCAAGTATTACGTACGCAGATTTGTTACAATTATTAACCCCTCCTCACATGCTTACGTAAACATTTTGGTTCATTTTATAATTTGAAGCAAGTATTGGCTTTTACGCACATTTAATGTATGGAAAATCACGAAGATCTAGCTCGCCAGACTAAAAATACTTTTCTGTAACATGATTCGAAATTGTATCTTTCTAATCCTTGAGGCGCTCATCCAAATAAGACCCAAAATGGTCATGAGGCAGTATCAAACCAGACAGTTCACGACTAAGAGGAGCCATATCATAGTCAAGCAGGGTTGCCATATGTGTTCAAATCAAAATCTACTAAATTTTGTAGAAAATTGTACGTAATACTTGAATGGTTGCTAAACATTATCAATATTACCCAATCGGCATTCCAAAGATGAATCAACCACGGAGTAGGATATTATAGAGGGCTGTTTACTTTGAAGAGGTTAGTGTCTCACAGATCACGCTGGAGCTATATGCTCATATAAAGTTGGTTACAGCGCCATGCATGCACTAACCTTTTCAAAATAGATTCCAAATTATTGCTTAACGATAGTTGTGACATGACTGATAACTTTTCCTACACGCGAATATAGTATTTATTAGATACGGTTGACTATCTTCACGTACATCAATGATTCTACTTATACATCTTTAATAACAAGCTCCCGAAAATAAAGCCAGAAGTAGTTACCACCAGAGAGGTTTATATAAAGAGATGACAGACAAGACGAAAAAAAAATGAGAGATAGATAGCGATGACTCCAAAAACCTGGCGTCCAGAAAACAGCTGATGGCGTCTAAACACGGCTGTGCAGGGAGACAATTCTTTTTCAATGAATGCATTGATCATACCTGATAGTGAACGCACTTTTTAGTAAGCAAATTTAATTTTGTTTGGTAATTTGTTCTTGGTGGGGATATTTTTCATTCAACAAAGTTGAACACTTTTCGCGAGAGAAGCTATTCTCAAAACCTCTAAGTTATAGCATGACTGTCCTACTTTTAGGGTCCAAAGCGAAAGTTTTCTAACCTCAAATTGCTGATTGGACCAATCGTTGGTATATTTTACAGGGTCGCGAGTTATCTAGACAGCTTGGCCTTAAGATGATATGTTTATTTAGTTCGTCTGACTTTTTAACGTACCCACCAAGAACCGTTAAAATAGTTGAACTTCATTCTGCTTAGTACAAATTGATGTTGCGTTTTATAAATATTTTATGGTAGCTTGGCAACACCGCATCGGTAGCCAAGGATGGTTATTTTTGTTTGTAAGCCAGTAATAATCGAAGAACCGACCGCAAACTTGTGGTTACATGGCGTACTGATATGGAATTTGAAAAACTAGTCAAATCTTATCAGTACGCGATGATGTAATACAAAATTTACGATCGGCTTTCCTACTATAATGCAGGTATACTCCCAAGGTCAATGGGGCCGACCAACGGATTATATAAAGGAATTCCACGAACTGTCTTTCTTCTCTTGATATAATTTTTGGTAGTACCAAGACTATCACAAAGGTTGAAGAGGGTTTGGTACGAGTTTTGAACTGGTTAGGAAGGATTCGAAAAACGTTCACGTGGTAAACCGTTCCATATCGCAGGGGCAACGATGCGCTCATGGGCGTCATATAACAAAAAAATTTAAAGACGCGCATGTAGGGATGTTTTGGGGAGTGAAAGAGGACACATGCCACTAGTTGTTCAATAACGTATACTCTATAAATATTTTATTCCTCAAGCGCATGCCCCCCTTCCCCTAATGGGCGCCCATAGATACGCTCATATTTGTCAAATCCAGATGTACCTATGAAGCGCAACCGATGAGTCAGGTTGCCCCTGCTCCGAAGCGCGCTAAGCAGGGGGGTGAAACGTCTTATGAGCGAACTGGCAACACAAAGGTCATCCTC